TTTTTTAAAAGAATCTTACTGACCCCAATCTTTGAACAGTAGTGTTTAATCTGAGAGATGTCTGATGACTGTGGTGTCTCACCTGCCCCATTCTGTGATTGGGAGCAAAGAGCAAAACATGCCCCCAGGACTCCTCCTAACGCTGTAGAGAGCTGCATACGGGCAGCTTTCCAACGGTCAAATCCTGCTCGCAGCAGAATGGCAAAATCTCCCACCTTTTCATGAAGACAGAAATGTGTGCACAGCAACAGAAATTGGTAAGTACTGAGCACTATATGAGACATTTCACATACAATATCTCTTGAATGACTCCTTGCTCATTCCAAGTCAATAGTAAGAAATTGCTACCGATCAGCTAAAAATGTATTGCATCGTTTCTGTGTAATAATTACCTGGCTGAAACTCAAGAAACAGAGAAAGACAGAAAGATATTGAGATACGTACCTCATGAGGGATCTCATGAAGCAGAATAGCGAATGTTGTTAAGAAACCAACCTGTTAGAACAGGTAAAATAAGGTATTGTAAACATATTGTAGTGCACTCTTGTTTTCTAATCTAACCACGGTAGGGCAGTAAAACCATGTTTTATAATCCACATAATGTTTATTTGGCACATATATGTTTAACTGAATGTCAACAGAAGCAATGGCGGAGGTAGGGTAAACAGTAAAATGGCACAGTTCTCCATCAATCCTCTCCCTTGCATTTCTGCAGCCAGATATGTATGTCCAGGCAAGTGAGCAAATGTGTAAAAGTGTTTTTTTCTGTGCAAGTATGGTGGTTTCTGTTGCACCAAGTCCATTTCCTCTGAAACCCCCTCCCCACGCATGCTGGGAGCCTTATGCTTCTCCACCTGGACTTCAACTCCACAAAGCCATATAAATACTGCCGCACTATAAATATTCCCACACATCACATAAACATCTCTATCTCACTGTTTGCAATGATCTACACTGATCAAAAGAACTATGGGAGAAGCCATCAGTTTAAGGTTTAAAAGTGGCCAAATCAGATTATATTTATACAGGAACTCTGAATCTATTTATAAAGCACATAAAATCATTGCCCTACACAGAATTGTTCACATTAAGTTACATTAACAATTCATTAATAGTGCACTCTATAGTAGGCTGTTCTAGCAGCAATCAGCCTTACTTTAGCATTACTTTATTGAGTTCTGTAGTAGTACTAATGAACCCTGAAGCCCATTCATATAGAATTGGTCTCCGTTTGCTCTTACCTTTCGGCTTACTAAGAAGCTTCCTGCCACTGCCAGCCCATGAGTGAAGTTATCAATGCAGTTAGCAAGAAGGTTTAGATAACCACTTGTCTGAAAAAATAAGGAAACAAAGCATATACAATAAATCTAAGAGAAAAGATAATAGGTAAGAGACAATTTACAAATGCTGTATTGATTGGTTCCAAGGAAACATTGCTAGATTTAAATGCACTTATCTCTAATAATCTTATAACCACTTCTTTTATTGTGAACAAGGCGTGATTTGTGTGCGCATCTTACCTTTATTTTCTCTGGCTTTGTGTAAAGGCTGATGTCAGTCTTTGGCTTGGAGTCGGAGTTGTTGTTTGAGCAGATGCCATTTGATTTTGGGGACACAGAGACCTCGCTGCTCAGATCTGTTGAAGACGACTAGTATGGAAAGAGAGAGAACACCATGATAAGTCTTTATAACAAATCTGGGTCTCATTTCACAGCATCCAAGACCAAATAGACACTTTTACCCATCATCAAATCTTCAGATGAAATCAGATACCAAGAAAAAATAACCAGATACACTACTATTCAAAAGTTTGGGTTCAGCAAGATTGATTGATTGATTTTAATTAATACATTTATTTACCAAAAGTGACAGTAAAAACTTTGACTATTTATTTCTATTTCAAATAAATGTGGCTTTTTCCATTTTCTATTCAAATAATACTGAAAAAATGCATCACACTTTCCCCAAAATTAAGCAACACAACTGTTTTTAAAACTGATTAAGAAATGTTTCTTGAGCACAAAATCAGATCAGAGTGAGTTCTGGAGTAATGGCTGCTGAAATTTCAGCCTTGCCAACATAAGAATAATTACATTTGAAAATATTAATATATAATCAGTATATATTCAGTTAATTTAAACATGAACATTTCACAATATTACTGTTTTTACTGTATTTTTGAACAAAAAAAAAGCAGCCTTGGTGAGCATAACGGACTTCATTCAAAAAGATTGCGGAGGTAGGGTAAACAGTAAAATGGCACAGTTCTCCATCAATCCTCTCCCTTGCATTTCTGCAGCCAGATATGTATGTCCAGGCAAGTGAGCAAATGTGTAAAAGTGTTTTTTTCTGTGCAAGTATGGTGGTTTCTGTTGCACCAAGTCCATTTCCTCTGAAACCCCCTCCCCACGCATGCTGGGAGCCTTATGCTTCTCCACCTGGACTTCAACTCCACAAAGCCATATAAATACTGCCGCACTATAAATATTCCCACACATCACATAAACATCTCTATCTCACTGTTTGCAATGATCTACACTGATCAAAAGAACTATGGGAGAAGCCATCAGTTTAAGGTTTAAAAGTGGCCAAATCAGATTATATTTATACAGGAACTCTGAATCTATTTATAAAGCACATAAAATCATTGCCCTACACAGAATTGTTCACATTAAGTTACATTAACAATTCATTAATAGTGCACTCTATAGTAGGCTGTTCTAGCAGCAATCAGCCTTACTTTAGCATTACTTTATTGAGTTCTGTAGTAGTACTAATGAACCCTGAAGCCCATTCATATAGAATTGGTCTCCGTTTGCTCTTACCTTTCGGCTTACTAAGAAGCTTCCTGCCACTGCCAGCCCATGAGTGAAGTTATCAATGCAGTTAGCAAGAAGGTTTAGATAACCACTTGTCTGAAAAAATAAGGAAACAAAGCATATACAATAAATCTAAGAGAAAAGATAATAGGTAAGAGACAATTTACAAATGCTGTATTGATTGGTTCCAAGGAAACATTGCTAGATTTAAATGCACTTATCTCTAATAATCTTATAACCACTTCTTTTATTGTGAACAAGGCGTGATTTGTGTGCGCATCTTACCTTTATTTTCTCTGGCTTTGTGTAAAGGCTGATGTCAGTCTTTGGCTTGGAGTCGGAGTTGTTGTTTGAGCAGATGCCATTTGTTTTTGGGGACACAGAGACCTCGCTGCTCAGATCTGTTGAAGACGACTAGTATGGAAAGAGAGAGAACACCATGATAAGTCTTTATAACAAATCTGGGTCTCATTTCACAGCATCCAAGACCAAATAGACACTTTTACCCATCATCAAATCTTCAGATGAAATCAGATACCAAGAAAAAATAACCAGATACACTACTATTCAAAAGTTTGGGTTCAGCAAGATTGATTGATTGATTTTAATTAATACATTTATTTACCAAAAGTGACAGTAAAAACTTTGACTATTTATTTCTATTTCAAATAAATGTGGCTTTTTCCATTTTCTATTCAAATAATACTGAAAAAATGCATCACACTTTCCCCAAAATTAAGCAACACAACTGTTTTTAAAACTGATTAAGAAATGTTTCTTGAGCACAAAATCAGATCAGAGTGAGTTCTGGAGTAATGGCTGCTGAAATTTCAGCCTTGCCAACATAAGAATAATTACATTTGAAAATATTAATATATAATCAGTATATATTCAGTTAATTTAAACATGAACATTTCACAATATTACTGTTTTTACTGTATTTTTGAACAAAAAAAATGCAGCCTTGGTGAGCATAACGGACTTCATTCAAAAAGATTTCAAAATCTTACCGACCCCCAACTTTTAAAATGCCCCCCCCAACAATCCTAACCCCACTCTAACACATGCAATTTTATGTGCCATTGCTGCATATTTTAAATGTTTACTCACAGTACTGACTGTTGTAAGTACACTGCTATAAACATGTTCCATTCATTTATATAAACTGAGGAAAATGTTTTGTGGGAATCTTCAGCATACCACTACTCTCTGGATAGATATTTTAAGCAGTAAATAACTAGAAATTATTTTTTAATTCTTAAATCAAGCAGACTAATAACACTCAGTTTAGCTTCATGTCTACATTTCACACTCAAAGCCCCAAAATGTAAGCATTTGGGTCATTAAAAACATTTCTGCCTCTAAATTCACAAAATTCTTTCCACAGTTTATTGAGACAGAAATGGCTGACAAAAGTTGACTGTGAGAAGAGAATCGTTCTTTACAGCAGCTGCCATTTTCGACTGTAGTAACAGGACTAGACGCTTCCTCCCTGTTCTAGCCCACAGTCTGTAAGGCCTCTCAGCTGTGGTTTCTGTGCACCGTGGCTGACTTCTGTGGCCCGTCTGTCTGCTGAGGGAATGCTGGTAGCAGCTGCTTCCTGATACATGTCATTTATAACTAGCCAAACAGAGCAGAGGCTATCAATCAAACTCCCAGGTCTCCCGTAAGCAAGGAAGACGACTCCGCATTCACAAAAAGATTCAAGTCATAGACCAAATCAAATTAAAAGTAATAATTAGAAG